ATTTGACACTGCTTCCTTGTTGTTTTATAAAAACTCAAACCCTTTATAATTATGTATCTTTATATATCTCAGTTTAGTAAAAAAAAAATATTTAGAAATATTAAAGTCAATTTGTTTTTAATTATAATCTCGGTGTAAAACCGAGATTATAATTAAAAACAAAAGTAGTCGTATGTTTCTTGTTGTGTTTCCATATGCATAGAATATTCTTGTCTAGGTAATTATAAAATATGTGTTCTTGATGATTTTGTTTATAAACTGACTAGAAAGTAAAACTATTGAAATCAGCACCATGGAAATATCACACAGATCTAAAAATAATATTAAATGCAAAAAGCATGTCACATGTTATTTCATGTGTCCTTGGTGTGTTATTTTAGTGTTTGTTTATTCTACACAATAATATTCGTAAGTGTACCATAAATCATGGAAATTATTAAATTAATTTAAATATTGTCATGTAACATGTGTCGTTTGTTGTGTCTACTTTTTGCTCTTGGTGAGTTACTATACATGTTTATGCAATCTATAAAGGTTTAATAAAAGTGTAATTTATCCTCCAGAGAATGTTTAGTTAAAATGTATTCCAAAAATAACTATGTTAAAATAAGTTCGTTAAATGTAAGCTATAACGCTATGTGTTCATGGTGTTCTGCTCATGTATGATATACATGCTGGGGACTATTTATAGTTAATAGAAAGTTGAAAATGAAATATGAAATGCGTATCACATGTTTATTATTCGTTATTTCATTTGTCCTAGGTTTCGTGTTATTGGTCCTTCAGAGGTATAACAACCGACATTACAATGACATTTATTGTTGGCCAGGGTATGATAAACATTCACCGAAAATTTTAGCTTTTTAGCTTCAAAATTGGCGAAGATATGATTTTCGCCTCAAAAGTGACATTTCTGGACCACTGTGCGTTGCCAGATATTTTTATTTCAAACTTATACACAACTTCTAACCAACGTTAGTGCTGACGTTTATTCAACATAAGCCAAGTCTATTAACTTAACCAAAGAAAATACGTCACAAACAAGTTAAGAAATGTTTTAAAACAATGTTTAACTTGAACAATAAATTTTTAATTTTAAAGTTTATATTATCGACGTTATGAATCCTTGGTACGTTTTTAAAAATTATTTCGTGAATTTTCCTGAGAGCTTCGATTCACATTAAGAAATTTTTCATCGTATCTATCTCTATTTTTTTTGCTCATCGAGTTTTCTATTTATATTTTTTCTCTTTATAGATTTTTAAAAGATTACGCCATGCTGTGATAGGAGACGTTTCCTACAAACAACAACTTACTAAAACTTTTTGTTCCTAGCGGGTGAAAATTTCAAATTGTTCAATGAACAATCATTAATAAATTCTTAAGTTTTTTCACTTCTTTATAAATGACATAACGAAAGAATTTCGTTTAGGTTAGCTCAGTTCTTTAAAAGCTTGATGACACGTAAGAAATTCTTTTTTACTTTTTATTAACCTTGGGTACAAATTTTAGTTGTTAATTTGTATAAAAATGTTTTATATAACTTCTTAATTATATTAAAAACACTGATCGCTGAACTTCAGACGCTGTTGCCGCAAAACTCTTGAAAAGAGAATACTAATAAAACAGCTTAAGAATAACTTTAAAAATAATTAGAAATAACGAGCGTTACCATTCGCGTAAGATTCGTGCCTCAAGACAAAAAAAAAAATTTAACTCATTAATTGTATTAAGCCACCCGTTGTCAGGCAGGTAATTGCAACCATAAAAAAAATGCTTTTAAACATTTTCTTTTATAAAATTACGATTAATAAATTTTAACGAATGTTTATGTTGGATGCTTTAGACCGAAATTATTTTATAATAAACAGCTGTGCCGCTTTTTAAAAGGAATTAACAACAACAACAAAATAAAGTTCACTATAAAAATCGTTGTTATAAAATGAACAAAAAACACATGTTTTAGACGGAATCTTTTGATGAACCCTTTGATGATTGCTTATAAGTAAGACTCATTTCCAACGGATATATTGTAAAGAACAATATAGTTTATTTTCTAACTTATATGAAAATTCAACAAACAAAAATAACGTATTTGTGTTTAAAATGGAAACGACGGAAACACTAAAAGCATACATAACAATTTAAAATATAATGCAAAGTTTCTAAAGATTTCTTAGAAAAATTACCGGTGTTTTCATTGAAATGATATATCACTTCTTCTGTTACGCATACCATCCTTTTTAATATTATACACAAGTATCCTATAATTAAGTTGGAGAGTACAGTATCGAATTAAGTTTAATAAGTATCACCGCTGTGCCCTCCTCCAAAAAAGAGTATTCCGGTCAGTCTACTATAAAAAAAATGGACCACGTAGTTTAAATGAGTAATTAATTTGCACTCACAATCGAACAGAATTCCATTCGAATGCGAACGAAATATTTTATTAATAAACTTATTAAAATTTACTTACTATTTACTTACTAAAGAAACTCTTCAAAACACTTTTAGAAATAGATGGAAAAAATAGAATTCTTAAAATAAAAGACTTTCTAAATGCCCTTATCGTAAGGAGAGGGGTTCTCGGGTGCAATTGACTTTTTTTTTACCAAATTCTCTTTGTTATAAATATAATCAATTATACAATACTTGACTGTTAGAGAAAATTTGATGGAACAGTACTTAATTGATGCAATCGTGCATATTTCTGAAACGTAACGTATGAGACTTAAAAGTAATTTAAATGGTAAAATGTTTTATTTACCCGAGTTTTATTTACCCGAGTTTTATAAATGCACGTGATCAATTGCTAAAAATTGAACATAGTTTTTTTAATGCTTTAAAATTTTTGAAGTGTTATTTCGATTATTATATTGGAGAACACTCGGTTGATTGTACAGGCTAGTCAGTAGAACCTAGATAATTTTATATTATTCTGTGTGTCTAATGTGAGCAGAACTAAGGTATGACTAATAATAACATATTATGTTTTGAATTGCTGCCAGCATAAAATTACTGTAATATAACAAAATAATTTAAGTGAGTGTAATCTAAAATTTAGTTTTATCAAGCTTTTCCAGTAATTTTTTAAGTTGACAATGTAAGTAATAAAGAAACTGCGTGCTTTAAGTAAAAAACCAGATTTCTGAATAATAAAGATCAATGAATAATAAAAATGCAGTCAAAGCTTGTTAGGGTAATAAAAAAAGGCTATTTGTTTTATACCATGTAACTAATATATAAGTTATGTCATCTTCTATAAAAAGACTTTTCTTAGGTGTTCCAGTTTTTACAAATTAAACGTTGCTCAAATATATTTGTAGATATATTTTATACGTATTAATCAAATTTATTTACCAATTTTTCAATAAATTTGATAAATTTAACATTACCTATAAAGGCATAAATTTTAGAATCATCGAAAATTTTATTAATATTTTGAGTCGAATATTTTCTTTTTAAAAAATTAGTAACGTGTTGCTATGCGCTCCATTAATTTTTAATAAGTAATAAAGATGTAATAAAGATGCAAATTTCGTAAAACAAAGAATTCAGAATAAAAGAATTTAAATTCGAATTAAACGAATATGAAGAGTGGAAATGACAAATTAAAGACAATCGAATTATAATATCTTAAAAGATTCTTTTGCAAGAGGTACGTTTGTTATTGTGTTAATATTTAAGATACTGGGAGACAAAAAAGACCAAGGTTAGGTTATAAGTTTAATATCATTAAAATATATATATATATATATATATATATATATATATATATATATATATATATATATATATATATATATATATATATATATATATATATATATATATATAATGTAACACTTTATTTTTATGCAAAAAACTTTTTCTTGCTATATTAGATTCAACTGCGGTATTTTTGTTTTAAGTTTTTATTTTTATTTTTCAGCATATGCGCCTTTGCTATTATTATTTGTATTTGCGGTTTTCAGTTGCGTTTTTAAAATTTGATTTGGTATAGTAACTACAAACAAAAATTAAATAAGGTTTAACCAGTTTTGTTACAAAGAAAAAGTTTTGAACAATTATAAAGTTTTCCAAATTCCATTGAAAATCCGACAAATGGATTCCATTGAATAACAAGGAAAACGTTACCTGACAAGAAACACCTTTAAAAACAAACAAAAAAAATATGCATAACAACAACAATAAAATGTTGACTCGTGAATTTTTTAATACATTTATTCATAATAAGTTTTACTTTTGCAATAATTCGGAGTACAAATGACAGAGTGTAAAACAAACCCAAAAGATGAAATAGTCAAGTAATAATTTTCAGAAGCAATACTTTTTAAAATAAATGAACTCTTGTATTTTGTTTTTATACAGCAACACTGCGCACTGTAAGTTAAAATAAAAAATCCCATCTACAAAATAATAAATAATACGAGTACTCGGCTTATCGCTTAATAATAAAGCGACAATTAACAGTCGCGCTTGATTTCGTTTTATTTACAATGCGGTTAAAGCTACGATCGGTTTATCAAAGAGTTTTATTCTAATTGCATTTGTTTCTAGCTGATCCTTTTGTTCTTAGATATTGAGGGTTCGCTATAGCGCAATGCTATAACTAGGTTTTTTCCGCGTTGACGTATTTAAACTTTATCGGTGTCGTCTTTAGGTTATTCTCATTTTCTCATTTCTACTTATACGAGAACAAAAAGATTTCATTATTTTTTTATTCATTTGCGGTGCTCTGCTTTCTGTTGCGATATCGGTTTTTTGTTTTTCCGAATTGTGTCATTGTTTTCTTGTTCTTTTATAGAAAAGTACAATTTCAACAATAAACAATTTCTTTTGTTTGAGAAATCTTAATCAAAATGTACTGCTAATAAAATCCATCTGCCTTGTTTTTTAAAAAATAACTCTTGTTGCAGTTTACTGTAGTTAAAAAAAATAAGTCTAAAATTATCATAGTAGTGTTTATTTTAATTTTAAACGTACTTATTTATTTTAGCAAATATAATAGTATTACTATTATAATAAAGCTTCCTGTTAAACACCACCGAAAGCTGAAATAATAGGCGGCTTTATTTTGTGTGTACTTACGACAAATAAAGATTACTGATGTTTTTTTTTCTAAAAAAATTACCGCTTTGGTTGCGCATTACAACAATTTTTTTTAAATTACTTTGGAAAAACACAGACATTCAGTTTAGTATTAGTGGTCATATTAATTGGTACTTAGAGGTTTTTTTGTAAAATTATTTTAAAGTTTTATCTATTAAACGAGTTTATAATATCTTACTGGTAAAACAATATTAGAAGCACCTTGGCCTTGATTTGGATATTGGTTTTAATATCTGGAGCATTTTAGTAAGTACCTAGCTACACATTTTATATGTTTTTAAATCGATTTATATGCATATAGCCAAATTTATAAAAGTATAATAAATTTGCAGAAAAATAAATACAGATACAGTCAATTTTGATTTAATTTTCGAATATAAAAAATTTTAATTTAGTTTCAGTTTTTACTTATAATTATTTAGTCTTTTTTGGTTCGATACTTTTATTCTATTTGTTCCTCAAATGCTTTCAATTATCTGTTTAATGGCATTAATAAAAAATAATGATAATAGTATTAGTTATAATAATAACAACAACAACAACTAACACTACAATAATAATAATAATAATTATAATAATAATAATAATAATAATAATAATAATAATAATAATAATAATAATAGTAATAATAATAATAATAATAATAATAATAATAATAATAATAATAATAATAATAATAATAATAATAATAATAGTAATAATAAAAACAACAACAACAACAATTAATAATAATAATATATACTATTACATAATATATATATAGTGCAATGTACAGGAGTAATATAAATATTAACATATATTTTATAATTTATAAAAGGTATTCATTGTTAAAACAACAACTATTCAATAGCATTCTTTATCTATTATTATTAAGCAGACAGTATCTAACTAATTTCTATTGTAAATTGCAGTATATTGTAATATTGTAATTAAACAGTGTCAAGCAAGTATCTACAAGACACTGTTTAAATATATGTTGTTTATTTTGTATATTAATGTGGAAATGAGTCTCATACTGTGCATACTTATTTTTCAGGAAATGCAAAGAAAAAGTTACTTTTTATTTCATACTTTATTTTGAAAAAAAGTCAAAAAAGTTATTTACAAAAATACTTTTCTTTGTTTTACTTTTTCTTTATAACCAAGGGAGCTACTTTGAAGAGAATCATTTTTATTTTTTTTCAATCTATTATCAATCTTATAATAAACTTTCAAATAGACAGTTTTTTCAAATAAGTAAAAAAAAACAAAGAATAGCAATACAAAATCTTACCTTGATGTAAAAATTTTTTGTATCTATGTACCTGCCCAAATTAAAACCATCAGTCTTAATATGTACTAAAGGCCCTGTAAATGGCTATTTTAATATAATTCATTAATGTTTCTTGCGAGACTAAATGTGAAAAGATATTTACATATATCTAAATGTGTATAATTTAATACACAAAATTTGTTATATAATTACCTTATTTGTTGTAATTTTAAAAGCTATTTTTAATAATTTCATTTGTACAGTTTTGTTAGTAGTTTTGTAACTATAAAGTAAAATTATAAATGATTTTTCAAATTTAAAACAAATTTTTAAATTTGATTTTTTAGGTATGTTGAATTCAAAACCAGTTTTTTTCAAGGTTATATGTAAAGATGTTAACTCTGGCTTTTCTTTTTCTTTTCTTGAAAGAGTCTAAGCAAAAAGGTATTATTGCTTATTTAATACTTTTGTTGTAATTGTTGTGTGTGTGTGTGTGTGTGTGTGTGTGTGTGTGTGTGTGTGTGTGTGTGTGTGTGTGTGTGTGTGAGTGTGTGTGTATATATATATATATATATATATATATATATATATATATATATATATATATATATATATATATATATATATATATATATATATATTCACTACTTGTGTATTCTACCCATCATAATCTTTTTAACCAAAACTTTAGTCTTGACAATTTTCAGACAAAGAAGAAAAAGAAAAATAACAACAAATTTATTAATAATAAACAATTTCTTGGTGTAAATGCTTTTTATATGTAAATATTGTCTGCCCAAAACCTCAGTTGATGTATGGATATATGTACTGAATCCCCCACATATGGTTTTTAAAATGTGATGTTATCAGTTATATATTTAGAGCTTAATAGCTTCATGCCTTCATTTTTTTTTTTTATGAAACTACTTGGGATAAATATAAAATACCTAGTAATAGTAGCTAACGGCATTAAATTGTATTTAAATAGTATATTAATATGTGTATGTGTGTATATATATATATATATATATATATATATATATATATATATATATATATATATATATATATATATATAACAGCATTTTGTATCTATGAATAATATTAACAAATCAAAACTTTCAGCATGTTGTAGGATTTGTGTAAAAAGTATATAAGTTCTAAGATTGGTAAATAAATGTATGAATTCTAAGATTGGTAAATAAATGTATGAATTCTAAGATTGGTAAATGTATGAATTCTAGGACTTGTGAAATAATGTATAGGTTGTAGTAAAGATTGACTAAAAATTACTATTTAACAAAATAAAGTAATTATGATGATGACAATGATAATGTTCATGATCACAATTATCTTGATCATGGTTATGAAAATTAGTTTCTATTATGACTCTAAAATTACTTTGTTTATATCAAGTTTTTTTTTTTTAATAATGGACTTTAATTTGATTTGTATAATTTTTACTTGTTTTTACTTAAATATCTAAATGAAGTTTATTTTGTGTGTGTACTAATTGTTTTGTCTGGGTAATATAGGTAAACTTTTTTATTTGTTATTATTATGCTATGACTATAAATCTAAATAAAATATTCTTTTGAACTTTTATTTGTTGTATTATCAAAATATTTAATTTATTCCACATACATATTGAAAGATATTGTTTTTTTAATCTTATTTTTTAATCCATTGGATTTAATCTTTTTTGTCCAATAACGTCTAATCCTATCCAACGGTGTTTGATATGGCTTTTGAAGTATTTTATTATTTATTAAGGAATAATAACACATTATGTGTCAGGGTCTGTAAACATTTTTCTCAGCAGGTTTAGTTTTTAAATTGTTTGTCAGTTCAGCTAAGTACCAGTTGTTGGAAATTATAAAGTTATTGTTTAATTTTTTATTCTATTGCATAATTAAAGTGTTAAAATTTTAAAAGAATGATAAATCTTTAGTTGACAGATTTTAAAATAGTTTTTTTCTGATTTATTTCATTATTGAATCATGATTAGAAGCTATATATATCTATATCTAAAAAGGGTGTCCTTTTGATTTACAAGTTTCTCCCATTTTTGCTTGTCCATATATTTTTTTTGGTACTCCTGTGTATTGAAAACTAAATAGTCATTTTTAATGTTTTGCAAGTGTTGAACTTTGTAAAACATAAAAGAGTTTCTCAGTGGATTTTTTTAAAATGTATTTTCTATATATTGATATATATTTTCAAACTTTATAAAAAGTGGTCATTTGAGGCTAGGTCTATATTTTTTTTCTTTGACATAAATTATCTTTAGTGTTATTTATGTCTCTATATATGGTGATCAACAAATTTATGTTGAGGGAGACACATCAGCAAATTTGTGTTGAGGGAGACCGGTGCTCAAAAACATTTATGTTTTTATGAAGTAAATTGGGGTAATTGGGGTAATTATTGCTTAAAATTCAAACTTGAATTTCAGATAATAAATATTAAATTAATAAAAAAATGTAGTTTATTTATTTGTGATAATTTTCAAGTAAATTTTTTATTTTGAAAGTCAAAAAAGTTAAGATGGTTAACTTGAAAAAGGAAAAAATTATAATTGGATTTTATATTTTGAATTTTTCTATTATTTTTTGTAGATTTTTGTGAACAATCAAACTTATTTTTGTCAATAATTATATATTTTGAACTGACTACCTTTGCAAGTTATATGAATCTGGAAAACAAGATATAGAATTCCAAAGAACTGATGTTCGAGGAAAAAAACTAGACCATTAAGAATTTTCAGAGCACTTAGGAACAGTCACAGTAAAAGGATGAGACTTGAATTGAATGAGGGGTAACACACAAATAGATTTTAGTAGATGGCACAAGGCGCTAGCTCTTTAGAGCAGCACCCATTATTGTACTTATAGAAAAGACAAATAGAAGTAACATTACAACAATGCGACAATGGTTGAAGGTTGTTGCACCTTGTCCAAAAGATAAAGGGCATCATTTGAAGATCTACTTCAGATATGGCAACAGTATTCCTTACAAGGATGGGTTAACCATAAGGTTCCATCTTTGGTCCTATGTTATTAATTATCTATTTTAATGATCTTCCTGACGATCTTACCTCTAAAGTATTTCTCTATTTGTTGATGATTCAAATAAATGCTCTAATCTTCATAAAAGGTTATCTTTTTTTGATTGTTTAGAATAGGAAGCTAATCTTGAGAGATCAATTCTCTAATTTTAATACAAATTTTTTTTGCTTCTCAAAAATAATCATTAAGTTCTTATAATAGTGAAAATGCTAAAACCTTGTTTATCTACTAATCAATAAAGTTGTAATAAAATATTGCCTAAAAGTAACCAATGACAAACACTAAATTGAGTCACATAACTTTTACCACAAACAATTGAATTGAATCAATTAATAATATTTATACAAACAACTTATGTCTATGATTAAAAAGGTAAAAAAATAACATTAAGCTGCGATAAGTTGTTTTAAAAAAGGGTGACCAGATGTGTGATTTTTCGAGGTTGTCCTAATTTCAGGTAAGCTGTCCTGTTTAAAAAAGGTCATTGGAACAGTCAATTTTTTTGATTTGGAAACTTGTCATGTTTTTGAAAAAAAAAATAGTAAAAAATAATTTTTTTGTTTTAAATTTCCTGTGTATTAAGTATCATATTTGCCAAAGGTACTGTAAACAAAGTTCCTGTTGAAACCAGTTTGAAAAAAAAAAATTATAAACCATAAAAAAACCAGGGGTATTAAAAAAATTATGCAACAAAACAAAATTTATGATTATGAATTTGAATGCATTATCATGTTTTCTATTTCAGTTTTTGATAAAAGAACTATTCATTTGTATTAATTTTTAAACTGTTAATTATAAGGAGAAGCTAAATATTTCTTGCTAAATAAATTTGAAATTCTTTGTAACTCGTATATCTTTTTATTTAAATTAAATAATAGCTTTTTTTTGTAAACTTCCATTCTTTAAATATTTAATATTAAAAAATGTTTTTTTTTTAACTAGTTTTTAAGTATATTTTAATTTAAATGTCAGAGCGTATATGTGCTTACAATGAAGATTTCTCCAAAAAATAGAAGTTTATATGAAAAGCCTTAAACTAGAAGTAAAATGTTCTGTGTGTGTGTGTGTATATATATATATATATATATATATATATATATATATATATATATATATATATATATATATATATATATATATATATATATATATATATGTATATATATATATATATATATATATATATATATATATATATATATATATATATATATATATATATATATATATATATATATACATATACACACACACACACACACACACACACACTTACTAAAGCGTGTTTTGATAAGCATTTGGTCACTTCTTCTGCTTACCTTAAGCTATACTGTTTTTTTTGAAAAAGAAGAAGAAAAAATGAAGAATGATGAATGAAACAATTGCTTCCCCATCCCAAACCCTCAGTCGATGTAGCAGCACTCCACTGCGAGTCAGGCTATTTGTTAGTTGATGTATGTACTGAAGCCCCCAGCTGCAGGCTATTTCAGTATGACGTCAGATTGCTTACAATAGTACGCAATACTATTTGTGTATATATATATATATATATATATATATATATATATATATATATATATATATATATATATATATATATATATATCAAGCCTTTCCGGGAAACATGTGTGGTTGCACGCTTTGTTCGTCCACGTTTAAAGTAATTTTTTTAGACTAACTGATCATGGCAATTCTCCTCTTTTAATTTATAAAGCGCTAAAATAATTAGCGGCAAAAAGCTAAACTTATTACTAAGAAAATAAACAATTTTTAAATAAGGAAACAAAATTTTAACAAAATATCAAGTTTATTTAAATAAACTAGAAAAATTATTAATTAAAAAATATAAATTAAAAAAAAAAAATTTTTATACAACGATTTTATTCTTTTTTTTTTTATTGTCATTGAAAAAAATATCTTTTATAACGATTTATAAACAATTGAAAGTTTTGATATGCAATTTATTCACGATTTTTTATCAATAACTGTCCGTGTTTCTAGCACAATTTATAAAGTATTTCCTTTATATACTGACTGAAAAAAGTTATGAAAAAATTGTATATCAAAAAATATTTTTATTTTCGTTATATTCTTGTCTACTTTTTTCCTCGACTTGTATCAATTTTGGTAGTGGAAAATAACAAACCCTCTAAAAATAAAAAAACAGTAAATATTTAGGTATGTTATTTTTTTGACAACAATTTATTTATTTTATTAATAAATTTTTTTTAGCTTATTTTCTTTTATTCGAGTATTGCTGATTTATTATCTAGTTTCTTATAGCTTTATTTTGCCGCGAATTCTTAAAATGCTTACTATATAAAAATGTGGTCAAGTTGTATAAAAAATTACTTGAGGCATAGACGTATAAGACGTGTGACCACAAAAGTATTTTTTCTCTAAAAAGTTTAATTATCATTGTAACTAAAATGAAAAATTTGAAGTCAAAAAATTTAATTCATTGGATATGGGCGCAGTTTTTGCAAAAAAAATTTTGTCTAAAGAATTTTTTCACAGTGCAATAAATGACGCTTGTTATGTGTATATTAATGTGTTGTGTATATATTAACATTGATTAACTTATTGTATATATTAACGTTGTTATGTGTATATAAACGTATTATGTATATATTAAAGTTTGTAACATTAATGTTACAAACATAGGCTTATAACAAAGATAAATCCTAATTTTGTATTTAATTAGCAACTTTTATATAAATAAACAGATAGCTTGTGCAAAAACCAAAAGCTCTCGTAAAAAGCAGTTTAGAGGAGCAGCTCGCATGGTTCATCATGTTTGTTTTAAGAAAGCTTTTCTCACGCTTATGTCATTTTTTAACAAAACTTTTTCTTTTTATGAAGAGTTAACAAATTCACTTTCAAAAAGGCTAAAAATTAGAATTAGGAGTAAGTGACTTGTAAGCCCGATAAAAAGATGCAATCTTAGTCAGTGCTAACTTTGCAATGATCTGTTAAGACTGTTACAATTCATCAATATAGGAATATTAACAGCATTGCAATTTTAGCACTAAACAACTGAGTTTTGTCTGAGTTAACAACTAAGCTAAAACACCAAACAATTGAGTTTTGTTTGAGTTAAAATTTACTAGCCAATGCTGGTAAGTTTTTTGTCAAGGCTGCAGTATTTAGTTCTTTCATCAGTAAATGCAGTTTAGTGTTAAGATTATCAAGACCATTAACATAGATGAAAAATAACATATGACCAACAATATGATACGCCAGAATTTAATGGAAATGAAAGAAAGTGTTGGTCATCAAGGGTGACTTTAATATTGCGGTGGAAGGGAATGATTCAGTAGTTTTTAAAATCTTTTCTAGATCCACTGTATAAAGAGAGCTTATAGAGAAAACCAGCATGCTATTCTTTTTTGAATACTTTTAATATGTCAAGAGTATGTCACAATCTTTCTCTTATAATGATACAATCTGATTTTAAATGGAAAACTCAAGTTGATACAGCGGTTGGCAGAGCAAACTTATTGCTTTGTATTATAAGAAGAACATTCAAATACGTCGACACACATGTGGTGAAAAAGTTGTACGTAACATTTGTTCGGCCACACCTTGAATTTGCGATTCAAGCTTGGTGTCCATTTTTAAGACAAGACATCGATAAAATTAAGAAAATCCAAAGAAGAGCCACAAAGTTAGCGCCAGCATTAAAAACAATACCATATGAGGAAAGATTAGATATTATGAAATTAACAACTCTAGAAGAACGGCGAATAATCCAACAGTATAAAATTCAACATGGGTTTGATAAAGTAAAATGGGTTTCAAACTACAATTATACCGCGTCACAAGAAGGCCCCTATCTGAGGCAACATAAATTCAAAAAACTATACTGCAAGAATACTATCAGATCAAATTTTTTCTCTAATCGTATAGTCAACATATGGAATAATCTACCGAGTGACATAATAGAAGTAGAATCAATAAATCAGTTCAGAAACAAACTAGATAAATCAAATATTTGCAAAAACATTTTATTACAAAATTGTTTTGAAGATAATTTGGTTTAGAGATTTAGGAATTGTGCAAAGCTGATACAGTGCAATATCAACTGTTATTGCGCTCCACAACTGTTAACACCAGTTGTTACAGCTACCTCTTATTATATTATTATAAGGAATTAACAAAATCTGTATTGATTGACAGCAGAAATCTGGAATGATTTAAAGCAGATATCTCTATTGATTGACAGCAGAAATCTGGATTGATTCAAAATAAGTAGTTAGACTCAACATATTAAAAGTTTGTTAATTAAAGATTCAAAGACATTGCTCATAATAATAATAAGATTGTTTGGGTAATGGAACCATAGATGCCATTTTCCAGCAGACATGAAAACAATAGCTGAGCACTTCGTAAATAGGTTAGAGAGTATTGAATTCTGAAGAACATTTATGTAAGACTGTAAGAAGAGTGTTGTTGGGACCACAAGCTGTAAAAGGGTCATTTAAACCTGATTTTACAACAGGTAAATTGGTATATTAGATTTGCCCAAGCCAAGTCTGCGACTATTGCTTTACAAATCAAAAGATAACAGCCATCAACATTGGTATCCAAAGTTAAAACAGGTATTTTAAATAAGTCTTACTAAGAGCTAGTAGCTCTGGTGGGTTTTGCAAGAGGTAAGATTTTACTGGTGAAAAGTTACTTCAATGGCCACTAAATGGCAATGAATATTTGTAACAGATAGATTGAAACAATTTGGTGATAATGACAGTTTTTTTATGTTTGATATTTTTAGGTGCTATAATCATATTTCAAGTTGTTACAGAACCTGATTCAATCATAGGTAGTAAATGGCAACCTAAGCAATAAGCTATGCAGTTGCTTCAGTCCTACTAAAAATCTTAAAGTTGTAACAAAAGGTTCCTTATATGGTCTTGACAATGCACACTAAAAGCACTAACCCGTGCGCAATATGGCATTATTAATACATTGATATTTTACAGCTATAACTAGTATTTAAAAGTGAGCATAGTATATTAGCAATTTACTTATCTAAATATGCAGTATTAGATTCACTAAGCATTTTTTGTTAGTGATATATAGTTATCTTATACATTGAAACTCATAAAAATATTTTAATTTTTATTTTAAAGAAATCTTTTGATTTTTTTACTTATTAAAATTTCATGTATGATTATAAATTTTTCTTGTTGTATTACTTTTTATTTTTGTCTTATTAGAACCAATATTTGAAAAAGCTCCTGAAGTTTATATTTTAAATGTAAATGAAACTGTACTGCTGCCTTGCAGTGTCACTAATCAATATGCTGATTATAAACGTAAAGTGTTATTTCATTGGATGAAACATAAACCAGATGGATCTGTTGTTTGGAATTGGCCAAGGTATCGCATCAAACCAAATAAGGGTTTAAGAATCCGCCAGCTACAGAAACATGATGAAGGTGTTTACTTTTGCAATGCAGAAAGTAAAGTGGGTGGTTTCAAAAGTATAAAGCGTGTTTTAATAGTTACTGGTAATATTAGCAAAGAATTTCCTCAAGGTTAAACTTAGTTTACTTGCTATACATTTAAATCTAAAAAATTATAAGTTATTTTAAATGATATGGTTTTTTTTAGAAATTGAAATGCCAACTCAAGTTGGCTTTGTGCCACTTTCTTCCCCTAAAAGTATGTTTTTATTTTTTATATTTTTGTATGTTCTTTTTAAGTTTATATATATATATATATATATATATATATATATATATATATATATATATATATATATATATATATATATATATATATATATACAGCTATTCACGAAAGTTTAAACGAGGGTGTAATTTTAAGAACAAATCTTTAGTTTTTCTTTAATAAAAATCTAATGGAAATAGATATCAAAATAATTTTTCCCTATTCGGTAACTAGGTTTTCTGATCAAAAATAAATAAAAAAAGTAGGTTTCGACTCATAAGTGATCTCTTGGGAATTTGATTAATAGATAGATGTCAGAAATTAATTGGTGTCATAAAAGTTTAAACGAGTTTATTAAAATTCAATTATTTGTTAAGTAATTAATTAATCCGTTTGCAACATTCAAATAGGCAAAAAACTTGGGGTTTCTGAATCTTGCCTACGAAAAACAGTCAAAACCTGGAAGCATACCAAGGGCGTCGTTGACATGCCATGTTCCGGGAGACCATCGAAGCTTAGTGACCGTGAAAAAAGTAGCATATTCAGAAGCTGCAGAGAGAATCCTAGGCACAGCTACAAAAAGCTAGCACAAATCTTCATTTGTGCTAGCTTTTTGAAGTTGTTTTTACATTATGTTTATTTTTCAATTCTTTGAGTTGAAAAATAAACATAATGTAAGCAGAGAGCTCGTTAGGCGAACATTGCTGCAAAAAGGTATTGTAACGTACATTACAGCAAGAAAACCTATTTTATCAATCATGGACTGACGTAAACAGCGAATATGGTCAAAAGAAAGATTAAGCTGGGCTGTTGAAGACTGGTTAAAAGTTATTAGGAGTGATGAAGCTAATTTTCAAGTTGTAAACCGCAAGGGAAGACTATATGTCCAAAGATTTGCAACGGAGAAATATTCAGATCGGTTTTTGCAACCACGTCGACAAGGCGGTGGAGGTTTCATTGGTATTTGGGGATGTTTTTCTCACAAAGGTATCGGTATGTGTGAGCTGTACAAAGGCCGAATAAATCAGTACACCTACAAAAATACATTGGAAACGTGTTTAATTCCATCAATCAGACAGTTGTATGGTAGAAGCAAGCAATTTATCTTTCAACAAGATGGGGCTCCAGCTCATACAGCTAAATCAATCAAAGAATATTTTTTGCAGAAAAAGATAAATGTGATCCCTTGGTGCCCTAGATCACCAGATCTCAACCCAATTGAAAATATTTGGTCTTGGATTGACAATCAACTTATTACCAAATACAATCAACTGAGCAACTTTTGAATGAGTACTGGTTGAAGGTACCTCAAGAGATGTGCATGAAATTAGTTGAATCGATGCAGAAACGAGTTTACCTTTGCTATAAAAACAAAGGCGGACATTTCAAATATAAACTTGGCATTTTATTTCCATTTTTTATTTGTTTGTAAAATTTTGTTTAAACTTTTGTGCTACTCATTTTTATTCTTTAAGTCGACATCATTTATTTTAAGTCGACATCATTTTTATTTATTTTTTTATTAAGAAAAAAATAAACCTACTTGATCAAAATTACACTCTCGTTTAAACTTTTGTGAATAGCTGTATATATATATATATATATATATATATATATATATATATATATATATATATATATATATATATATATATATATATATATATATATAGTATATATATATATATATATATATATATATATATATATATATATATATATATATATATATATATATATATATATATATATATATATATATATATATATATATATATATATATATATATATATATATATATATATATGTATAGAGAGAGAGAGAGAGAGAGAGAGAGAGAGAGTTTAATAATTGTTTTTATACAAAGTTAATAAATGAAAAATTATCCCTTTAACAGTCCCGTGTCTTTTTTGAAATCTATGTCTTTTTTAAAATCTACGTCTATGCCTAGTGCAGCTTTTTTTTTTGAAGTGATCTCTAAATATCCCATGTTTTTAAAATCATCGTGTTTTTTTACTAATAGAATAAAAAAAGTTTTTTTACTATTTTTAACATTATTAAACACTACAAAATGTTATTATTTAAGTTTAAGAATATATAAATCATACTACATAAACACAAAATTTTAAAAATGTGTTCACTAATATTCACTTTTTATATGATAATTGGAAAAGCATGTAACTGCACCAAGTCTTACATCACTTTCTACACATTCATATCTTGAATCTTTTTCAATTTTGTGTTTGTAACATACCGCACAACTTCTTTGAGCATTAATCTTTTATTATCATTTTCAATAATCATTCATTAAATATATCTTTTCATTATTGATTCATCAAATTTATAGTTTTCTATCTTTTTGTGAGTAGATATTTACTTTTTGATAATTATTTTTGCACTGAAAGAACTTCCTTATTTGTCATATTTAAAATTAAAGTGAACACGTTTAAAAGTGAATTATTGAAACAAAAGCTCTGTAATTATGTAGTAAGAAATTTTGTGACAAGTAGACATATAATTACTGATGAACAAGAAGGAAATATATGGAGATGCATAAAAGCGTCATATTATGGCATGTACATTTGGGAATCACTTTTAGTTTGCGTAATAATACAGCATGGACTGTTAACGAGTTAAAAAAATATATTACTCATTAATTTTTATTCAGCTTAACAATTGGATGTGTTAACTTTACTTTTCACAAACTTTTTCATTCATCAAGTGCCACATTTAATAATTTAATTGTTATATTGTTGATTTATTTTATCACTTGATGAATGCTTCATTTGTCACAAGTATGTACACCATTATAAAATATATAATGAAAATAAACCTCTTGCAAAATCTGAATTTAAATGTATAACATATAAGTATATATTTTAGTTATAATTCGATAACAAAAAGTAAATGTTTGGGTTGAACTTGATTGAATTTTAACTTTAATTAAGCATGCTCATCTCTCAGTTTTGCTAAGCAATCAAATTTTATTTTTTGCCACATTTTTTTTTATTTAAATCTACAAGGCTTTTATTTCTTATTTTCATTTTTCTATAAAGAAAATTGTGTTAAAAAAAGTATGATAAATTGTACTTGTAAATCTTAATAAATTTTTGATGGTTACATCAAAATTGCTGTTAAAAAATTTGTTCCAGGATTTTTATTATTGCAAAATATAAATTTCAGTTCATAACTGTTGACTTTTTGAAAAAAGATATTGTTAATACAAGTTTATAATACAAATATATTAACAAAATATGTATGTTCTCTCTCTCTCTCTCTCACACACACAAAACACACACAGAAACAATACACACTCAATGCACACACACACACACACACACACACACACACACACACACACACACACACAAGCACGCACACATATATGAGGAAATGTATATACATTGGCTGATTAATAATTTGTCAGCCTATCATTTCATTTGTAAAGAAATTTGTCATCAGGTTTTATAATACAATGACATAGCATTGTTTTTTATTTTAGATCTCCTTGAAGTAACCTCATCTTTAATAAAAAAAAAATTTAAAGCAGGATCTCAAGCCAAATTAAAATGTGCAGTAAGAGGATATCCATTGCCAAATATTCAGTGGTTTCAAAATGGAACCAAAATTGAATCTTCAGAGCAATACATTACACACAGAAGTTCACTGATTATTTTTAATCTTACACAATATAACAATGGTAACTATACATGCTTTGCAACCAATAAACATGGCATGGTTCACATGAGCATTAATGTTGAGGTTACTTTGCCAAAAATATACACATTTGCCTCAGAAATAATTGATACTATTTATGTTAAATCAGGTGAAAATGTCACTTTAGAATGTTCTGTTCCGGAAAATGAGGTGAGTTATTTGCTATGGCACTCACATAAAAAAAAAGGAAATCCATTTGGTTCTCGTCAAAAAGATATTAAAAGGTTGATTCACCACCAGACTGAGGTCCATAATAATACTCGTTTTGAGAAGATTTGGTTAGTAAATGTAACCCATGATGCTGATGAAGGAATTTATAAATGTTTAGCTTTATTTAAAGAAAGTCAAACACCTACTGAAATTAAAGTTGTTCATATCGTAATATCTTCATGTAAGGTTTTTGAATAAAAATATTTAAAAAATACGTCTAAAAATCAGAAATACTGTTGACTAATAGATTTATATTTCTGTTAGACAAATAATTTTTGTTTTTTATTTTAATATTAAGATGGTAAAGCTGTCGTTAAACAAGTTGCTACTCCATGGATCAACTCAAATTTAAAATTATATCTTTTGGTCATTTTACCTGTTGCATGTTTGCTTCTTTTCATTATTTTCATTTATATATGTATACGTCGACATAGACTAGTAAGTGTATAATTTTTTTTTTCCCTCAGTATTTACTGTTTTAAATTATAAGCTAACTGTAATTCTTAGTGTATATATTTTTATTTATATATTTGTTGTTTAATTATTTAAAAATTATTTAAAAAATTGAAATATCTGTGGTATGAATTTAGTTGAAAAAAGTTTAGAGAATGTAAAAAAAAAAAAAAAAAGTTTTCTGTTTGTTTGGAAAAACTTATTTTAAAAATAGTTTAAAAACAAAGTTTCATAGATATTGTAATTCTTGTAACACCAAAGGTTCTATGTATAAGTGACCATTGTGGATGGCTAGGTTTATAATATCAGATGTGCAAGATGTGTAAGTTAAGTTTATTCTAAAAAAAGCTCAACGTTCTTAGTAAATAATAAATCAAAATTGCACTAAATCTCAACAAATTGCACCTTTTTCTTATTTTGGTATATGGTGACTGTTTTTCCATAGTGGGAAATCTATGAATTTTTGGCTAGAATGCATGTTAACCATCAAATGATGGCAATGAATGAATTCCATTTTCAGAAAATTTTTTTAAGTTTTTGGTTTGGTTGTTCACAGTAGATAAAGTAGATTTTAGATATCTACTACAGCTAGTATATATTGTAACATGAACTTTGATCTGAAAATATTTATAGTGAAATTTAAGAATCATTGTCAATGATTGGCTTTTGATTATTGAAAAATTAAGGACTCGACATTTTGAAATTGTCATTTTTTTTGTTTTGTTTTGGTTTATTTATTATTTTCTAAATATTTTACTGACTACAATTGAATTTTTGATCTACTTAAAAACTCCACCATTATGGTCTAAAATGGATTTACGTTTTTTTAATGTTAATTTTTAAATTTATTCTCAGGACATTTAATTATATGGATAATAATTTTCAGGGATATTCTCAGCTTTAAAGTGGTTGTAAGTGAACTTTATACCAACATGTCTGTAATTTAATTAGAATTCATACACATGAATTTTTCTAATTTCTTCTTGTTTGAATGTAATATATAATTTTTTTTAGTCATCAGGGTAAACTTTCTTCAAAAATTTTATCTGGAAGTCCTGCATAGTACATATGTAGATATAAGGTTGTTTAATAATTGCCCAAGGGGTTCCTCAAAACCCAAATGTGTAACAGGTCCCAGGTTTTTCTTGTGTTATTTTTTTTAATAATATAAGTATCATAAAAAAAAAATTTCAAAGGTATTTCAACCTGGGTCTCAAAAGAAAGAAATTTATGTAAAATTAAATTTTAAAAAACATTTTTTCAATAGGTTTTAATTATAAAGTGATTTTTGAAATTTTTACATTCTTTTGCTGTTTTTCAGACACAGAATACTTTTAAGAAAGTTTTTTTTAAATATTATCAAGGACCCTTGTTATTATTTTTTTAGTAATATTAAATCCATCGAAGCCCCGATTTGATAAAAATATTTTTAATACATATTATGATAATAGAATGGTAAAAAGTTTTGTGATGTTTTAAAAAAACAAAAACATAGTGGATATTATATATATATATATATATATATATATATATATATATATATATATATATATATATATATATATATATATATATATATATATATATATATATATATATATATATATATATATATATATATATATATATATATATATATATATATATATATATATATATGTATAGATTTCGATATATAGAATATATTCGAGGTTAAGTATTTTGATGTAATAATACGAAGTCTCTTGTACGTGTTACAGTGCTCAATATTACTGAATAATAGAGCTATATATAATTATATTTAGATGAATAAAAACAACTGATTAGCGGGACTTAAAGTTATATATATTATAGTGTTAGAAGAGTAATGAGACATGCTAGTAACTCATGGGCTTAGTAACTTATAAAATATATATATATATATATATATATATATATATATATATATATATATATATATATATATATATATATATATATATATATATATATATATATATATATATATATATGTGCTAATGTTTAACATTTTTTGTTTTAACAGAATAAAGATATTGAATGTAACAATGATGATGTTATAAAATCATCAGACACTTCACTTGGTCAATTGATTCCTTGTCAAAAAGGATCTAGTGCAAAAAATCCTGATAAATCAGTATTAGCTTCGCTGTATTGCCCCACGTCTTGTCCAACTGATTCTATAAAAATACACTATGACAAAATAGACACATCTTCACAAGGTTGTTTGACTCAATATCCTACTGGATCTATTAGAGTGCACAATAACAAGACTGATTTAATTTCTCACCATTATTCAGGTCCTTCTCCGACTGGATACACTAACCATGATAAAAATGATTTATTAATTGATAAGATTAAATATCCCAACACATGCAAAATCGTATTTGAACCTCCGAAGGTTAACTCAACTGTTTCGGTTTTAAAAAATAGTTACTACTCATCTTCACAAATTTCAAATCATATTTCTAGGTATCCAGAAAAATCAGATTCTGACATTGCTTTGAATCTAGCGAAGTTTGTTGGTGATATCTTTAATGTTTCGCCACTGTCGCGGAATCTCTGCGGGAATATTGAAGACAATAAATTTAGTAATCGCAGTGCTATAAAATTTCCTTTAGAAGAACATTTTTCATGTGATGCAAATTTTGCAGGTTTTGACGAAAAACCTGGAGGAATATATAAACAATTTAGTAAAGACTTTAAACATAGAGATATCAAAAGTAATAATATTTCTTTGACAGATGAGTCAACCAAACACTCACAAAATGTTTTCTCAGACGTTTCTACTGGAGGAAATATTTCAAGTATGGATTTGCAAGTAATCCATAAAAAAAACGACTGTCTGCTTGACAGAGAGATAAGGAACTGGGAAATACTTATTAAAAATCGCTCACCTTATGTTTCAGATACGTTTTCATAGCTTTTTAATATTTTTTTATTAAATTATTTTGTTCAATCGTTTTCTTAAAAAAAGTTCTCTCTAAAAAAAAAATTTGGAATAACTAAAATTTAAAGTTCTCAATGTGAAGCTTTTTCCCTTATCATTGAGAATAATAGATGTATACTTTTTTTCGAAATCGCACTTATGTTATTTTATACGTTTTCATTTTCTATAAAAATCTGTAAATATTAGAATTTTGTTAACAAGAAGTTTTATTTTATTAGGAAGATATATTTTCGTTTAAGAAAAGATATACTTTAATAGTTATATTTTTTTAAGTTTCCCTTAACTAATGTGATTTGTCTTTTAACTATGGAAAATGTGATTTGTCTTTTAATGTAGCTTGACGCTTTTTAATAGTAGTAAGTTAGTATAAGAAAATACGACTTGCCTAAAGTATTTATAAGTTGGTGGTGTGTATATTAAGGTGATCCGTTAAAAACTTTTTTTTTTCACTATATTTTTTACTAGCAATAACATTTGATTTAAATGTTTTTAAAAAATTTGGACAATTAAAACCTCCCACAAAACCTTTAAAGTCCGAGTGTCGTTCTGTGCAACAGTTTTCTACTTTTTTTTCTTAGCAGGATTCATCCAATTATTTTTATTGATGACTAATCTTGCAAAGTTTGATTATGGTGGTATTTTATTATAAAGTACTTTTTAAATAAAAAAAAACCAAATAACATCAAACACATTTTTTCTAATAAGAAATATTCGAAATATTTAGAATAAATTTTTTTTAAACAGCTTCATAATGGCGGAAAAACTAAAAAATGCCTGAAATCGAATAACTTTGTAACATCTTCCGTTACAAATAGTATTGCGTACTATGGTAAGCAATCTGACGTCATACTGAAATAGCCTGCTGCTGGGGGCGTCAGTACATGCATCGACTGACAAATAGCCTGACTCGCAGTGAAGTACTGCTTCATCAACTGAGGGTTTGGGATGGGGCAGCAATCGTTTTATTCATCATTCTTCGTTTTTTTCCTTCTTTTTCGAAAACAGTACGGCTTAAGGTAAGCAGAAAAAGTGAGCAAATGCTTATCAAAACACGCTTTAGTAAGTGTATATATATTCATTTTCTCTCAATCAAATTTTGTAGATTAGTGCCTCATTATGTTTTATTTCAGTAACAGACAGATTTTTGATTTAAATTATTTCAATACCAAGTGAAGTTATGAATTACCAAGTAATTATGTTTTATGCAAATAAAAAGTTGTAAGAAACACATTTAAAATTTTTATTGAGTAAAATTTAATGTTCATCAGAAACGTATGACTGATTCGTTTCATTTGAATTATGTTTATCATGAAACGCTTTGGCTACTGATTACTTTTTACTTTAGCATAGGGGTTAAACAACAGTTCTAGTTTTGCTGCTTTGTTAAGGTCAACAACTTTTGATAGCTCTTAAGAAATCTAATTTTAAAATTCTTTTTGTTAATAAACAACGCAAGATGGTTATTTCAAGTGAAAGGAAAAAAATATAGTTACAGATTTTCCTCACAAAGAAAAGATTTTGTCTCCACTTTTTTATTGTTCGTTTTTTACTCAAGATGTTTGTCGAAACAAGAAATTAATTTGATTAAGTAAATAAGATCCAACTGGTTATCAACTCTAAGATTTTTGTTATTATTATCAAGATTTTATTATTATCAACTCTAAGATTTTTTATTAAAAGAATGATAAAATGTATGTAACTTTTCATTCTAGGTAATGCTTTGCAGTTCTTCCATAAGTCTTTAAAATAGTCAATCTTTTTTTTTTTTTTGAACACACAATATTATTACATTCAAGTTGAAGTAGAAAAATCAGGGCCGCCGAGAGCTGTCACGCTGCCTGGGACAGCAGTCCTGGTTGGCGCCCTTATTTATCAATTTTTCCCTATGTTATATATAAAGGACCTTTTTTTTTTTTAGGTACCTTCATTTCATTTGGCGCTCTTTAGATATCTACGCTCGGATGGGGATAGGAGGTATGCAAACGACGTATATGAGATAGGGGACAGAGGGTAAATTATAAAAGTAAGGAGACACTAAATTAAAAAATGATCATGTTGGGTAGGTAGGTTAAAAACATAGGTACTTTTAGGGAGGTGGAGGGTAATTAAAAAAACGTTTAGCAAAATGCGGGAGAGGGGGGAAAGAGTCGAAATAAAAGTGTACGTACTTTATGACCCCATTATAGCTCTAAACTATATTTTTAAATGCAAGTATTTTTCCCAGTGAAAATTTTTCCCATGCTCGCTTATCTAGGCAAAATCTAATAAATTAAATACCTTAAACAATATTTAGATAATACAAAAAACATAGGGCATAATTAAATATATCTTTATATCATAAATAAGTTTAAAATATATATACAATTTCGATAAACTTATGTTTTTTAACAAACAAACGTCAAACAAATATTTTTAAAACAAACAAACGTCAAACAACTAAACGTGTTTAAAAAAAAACTATTTTAAACATCACGTTCAACATCTTTTGGTTGATGCAAATACTTTCGTTTGCCGCTATCAGAAAAATCACTTACTACATGTCCTTTTCCTCTCAACACCCATTTTGTTGTTAACAAACCTTCTACGCCTACTGGTCCTCTAGCATGAATTCGACCGGTGCTAATACCAACTTCCGCACCTTAATGTTAAATTAAATTGTTAAAAAATCAACGATAAAATTCAGATTGATAATACAATATACAACACTACATAACAATACAACGCAACACATAATAATCTGATCGGGTCATAATGGATTGTGATTGGTGAACAACTTAACTGACACTTTAGAGACAGAAATTTCAGACGAAGCATAAGCTGAGGCTGACATGATTGATGTTAGATTTAAGAAAACGAGTGAAAATTTTATCCGAGCCCCCTGTCACTTCTAAAGCTTAAGCATAGCGGTATATAATGCATTCAATATATTATTATCTACATACAGGGGTGTGGAGTCGTAAATAAAAAGTAACGACTCCGACTCCAGTTGTTGAAATTTTTTGAGTACAGCTCCGACTCCAACTCCAAAGCAAAATTTTTGAAAAAATTTTTGAATTCTTAAAAAAATATTACGCGATAAGTTAAAAATTTCTTTTATGACAAATTTATGAAACGTTCTTTGAGGTTTATAATGAACATAAGGATAATTGAGTGTTTTGTTCATGCACGTCCAATACCGAAAAGTTTTACTATTGAAGTCGGGGTCACAATTTTGTTTAGCGACTCCGACTCCTCTAAAAATGTTGGAACTCCGCAACTCCGACTCCGACTCCACAGCCCTGTCTACATATATATATATTATTATTACTGCCATATTAAAACAGGAACAGACAGATGCTTTATTACCGCAATTAAAATGATTTTTCTTTCCCGAATTTCGGAAAAATATTTTATAAATAGATTTTGACTTTAAATGTATTCATTAAATTTATCTATCAAATTTTAGAACTATTTTTCAAATTTTAGATTAAGTTATTAAACTTTACTGTGGGGCACAACGAGGTTACATCCTAAATTCTTAACTGTTTCTTTTCTACCTACATACACCTACCTAACATTCATATATATATATATATATATATATATATATATATATATATATATATATATATATATATATATATATATATATATATATATATATATATATATATATATATATATATATATATATGGGCAATTCCGTAAGAAAGAGGAAGAAAAAAAAAGTTTTTTATGAAAATTAAAATTAAATTTATATTGATTAAAAAAATTCCATCTATCATACCATAACATGATTTTAAAGGTTGTATAAATGTGTTTTAACGTTTATTTACAGTCCTGCTGTGTAGCGTTAAAAATTGTATCGTAAAACCATAGCTAAAAACTTTGATAATGTATCATAGTGCATTTTTTTAACATAATTTACATGGTTTTTAATAAATATTTATACTTCTTACATTATTGATTGGGTTGTTTTGTTGATTTTTAATATTGGATTTTACATTACGACTATCATGATACGCATTGATTTACGCAATGATGAAATAACAGGATGACTGGAAACAGAGTCTATTGGTCAGATCATTATTTGAAATTAATTAGTTTTAAAGTATTTTTTACTTGCCTCTTCAGCTTCTTCTGTCCTATGGGTGATGTTTGTTGTTGAATGTTGTTTCCATGTATTTTTTTATTCATTACTTTGTGCATATGTATTCCATATATTTGTTTATTCATTATTTTGTGAAAATGTATTCCATGTATTAGTTTATTCATTACTTTGTGCACAGATTGAGCAGTGTAATACCATGGATATTACAATGGATATATTCTAACAGTATCTAAATAATAATCCTTGAATTTCTGACAGTCTATTTTATATCCTGAAGATATGTATATCATTGAGGGTATTAAGAGTATTTTGGAGACACTACACACTGAGCTACATTTGGGTGATTTAGTTGCCTCAGATAATATAGTTTGTGCCTTGTCATCAATCATTGTTCCTTTAATAATTTATTTCGCTTAAATTGGAAATCTAAAAACGTCTAATACAAAACCCTTCTATTTCAATTGTAATCTTTTTTGGGCACATCCTTGTATTCAAATCTTAAGGGTCTGCAATGGGATGCGGATAATCACTTTGATTCTTTCCAAATAGGCACATTTTCATTTCTGTCATAAAATCAAATCCAATTATAAGTTATAAAGTCAAATCCAATTGAACTAAACAGGTAATGAATAATGATTCTTCACATTTTAAATTGCTGCTCATGTCAGGTTCTGATAAAAAAAAATTTTATAAATGCTTTGGCCAGTAGCACTGTCAAAGCCTGTTTTACTCATAATAATATTTTTTTTGCTATGTATTTATCAAGTATTTATCAAGTTCCTTATTACAGGTTTTTGAGCTGCAACGATTTTTTGTGAGGTACAAATCTTTTTTAAATTTTACAAAAATTTAAGCTTTTTTTCTTTTTGCTGAACAAATTTAAAATATAATTTCAGTAATATTTTGTTTGGAAATACCAAGATAGTTGATTCTTTGAGAAAATTATGAATGTTCAAGAAATATTTAATGTTCATAAAAGTGTAAGCCATATCTAAAGCAAAAACTTTATCTTATTAAAAGATTTTTTTTTTCAATATTTAAATACTGAGAGTCAACGTAACTAAAGGATTTAATACAAATTAACTATAAATAAATTTCTTCTAGTACTAATATAAAGTATGTTGTAGAAATAACTAACAATTTTCATATTTTGTTTAGACAAGGTGCAAAAACGAATTGTAAACATAGTTGGACCTGCTCTAGCAGCCAATCTCCAACCATTGTCACATCGTCGTAATGTTGCTTCTCTTTCTCTTTTCTACAAATACTATAATGGGCACTGCTCTAAAGAGCTAGCGTCCCTTGTGCCATCTACTAAAATTCATTCTCGTGTTACTCGCCATTCAATTAAGTCTCATCCTTTTTCTGTGACTGTTCCTAAGTGCTTTAAAAACTCTTATTCCTCTAGTTTTTTTCCTCGAACATCAGTTCTTTGGAATTCGCTTCCTTCATCTTGCTTTCCTGATTCATATAATTTGCAATCTTTTAAGTCATCAGTCAATCGTTATCTTGCTCTACAGATTTAGTCTTTTCTCTTCCAGTAACTTCCAACTCTTATAGTGGTTGCTTGCAGCCTTGTTGGAAGTGAAGATGTTAAAAAAAAAAAAAAAAAAAAAAAAAAAAAACCTACTAGCCGCTGTGGGTTGATATCACCTACTGGTATGCTGTGGATTGATACAATGTACTGCATGGAATTAGGATTTGAGATTTTTGTTAATATTTTGGTTTACATCTTCTTAGCAATAGAAAATGCTTACTTTTTATTTTTTAAAGCGAAACTTTATAAAAATTTCAAAAATATTTATGATTTTTTGTTAAAAATACCTTGAAAAAAACTTAGACCAAAAACCATGAAAAAATGGCTTTTTTTAATTTCTTGCTAAAAAATAATTTTTATGCAATAAAACTTATAATAATAAACAATAGTAAAATTTTTATTGTTTTTGAAATTTTTTTATAAAATTTCGCTTCTTTTGAGACCCAACATGACATACATTTGAAAAACTTTTTTTTCTTCTGTTTAGGGTCTTGTCTGAAGTTTCAGATTTGAGGTGGCCCCCTTAAATCTCATTCAATTTTGAAAAAATTTAACAGTGTCTTGTGAGTACCAATAGAAAGTTTTAAGAATAGGGACAAATCAATTTTTGAAAGTATGGGGCATTGGATGCACCCTAATATATATATATATATATATATATATATATATATATATATATATATATATATATATATATATATATATATATATACATATATATATATATATACATACATGTATACATATATATTGAGAGAGAGAGTAAGAGTGAGAGAGCATTTACATACAGTATATTATATTCTCTATGCTATCATTAAAGCTTACCTAAACCAAAGCGATAACCATCAGCAAAACGAGTACTTGTATTATGAAAAACACATGCACTGTCAACATTTTTTAGAAACTTTTCAGCAGATTCTTCTACAGATGCAAAAAATAAAATTAAACAACTTAATATCAATTTAATATATATCTTAAAAACAAACAATTTAGTTTAAAAGCAAGTTGAATCAAGCAACTTATATTATACCACAAATATAAAAGTAGATTAAACTTTCCAAAAAATTTAAAAAAAAGCTGATAAAATATACTGTTTTCAGTCACAATAGCATCTGTATGAGAGCTTCCATATTCATGTATATGCCTTACAGCATCATCAACTCCATCAACAAGCTCCATGGCACACTCTAGTTGATTGTATTCTACATTTAATGATTTAGCAGGTACTGGACCAAATGGCAGTGCTCTGCATAAACGTGGACCAGCATGAACAGTTACCTAAAGATAATAACAAATTGCTTTATATCTTAGATGATTTGAACTCACTGAATTTTTTTAGGTACTATAAAGGTAGGAGAAAAATCAAAAAAGATATAAAAACTCAATTTAATAAAATATTTTTTGCTCTTTTGTTTATTAAAATATGATTTTTTGTTTAAACTGTCAAAAAGTTATTAAAACTCAATTAAATCTTATTACTTAGAATTTTTCTCGCGGTTTTTCAAAACCTAGTAATAAAAAATTCTGAAAAATAATTTCAGTAGTTGCTTGAATTTTTGGAAAAATGTCATCTATGTTATACAAAAAAATAACATTTATATCAAAAATACCATAAATGTTTTAATAAAACTAAAACCACATATTTAGTTTTTTATTTATGAAAAGGAGCTTTTGAATTCAACTAAAAATATTAGGTAAAAAAAGAGCTAAAAAAAATCAACTCTCAAATATATTTTTAACCCCATTGTTCTTGAGCCCATCTAGCAATACATCAAATGCTTTTGTTCGCAACAAATTCTCATGAACAAGTAATGTTTCCATAGCATTGCAAGCAGCAGGATAATCACATTTTGAATCAATGACTAAAAAAACAAAAAAATGTTTAATATAAATAATATTAAAAAAAAACAAAAAAAAAAACAATAAACATAATAATTATTACAATTATTGTAAAATAAAAAATCAAATGAAATAAACTATTTTTTAAACAAAACAGCGAAGAAACTTACCAATTTTCAGTGCCATATCAATCTCAGCTTCTTTGTCAACATAAACATGGCAAATTCCTTCTGCGTGACCTAAAACTGGAATATCTTTACTCATCTCTTTAATGCTTGCAATCATGTTTGATGAACCACGCGGTATAACTAAATCAACAACATCTTTCATTCGCAACAAATCTGCCACTTCATCTCTACCATCGATCTAAGTAACAATGTTTAATAAATACTGTTGTAACAACTAAAATAAATTATTTTGATAGGTTAAACTATTTTATTTTACATTTTCATAACTTACACTTTTAAACTAAATTATTTTTGTAAACTTACATTATTTATTGTTTTTATTATTTATAAATTTTATGTAAGAGAAAATCTATATATGTATGTATATGTAATATGTATATATATATATATATATATATATATATATATATATATATATATATATATATATATATATATATATATATATATATATATATATATATATATATATATATATATATATATATATGTATATATATATATATGTATATATATATATATGTATATATATATATATGTAAGAAAAAAAAAATTAACCAAAGCGACAGCATCTACATATCCATTCGTTTTATGAACTTGGAGAGCTTCTTGAACAAGTGAATGTAAATACTTGTTAGTATGAGATGCTTCTTTACCACCTTTTAACAATAATCCATTACCACTAGCTATTGAGAGAGCAGCTACCTAAAATTAGCATTATAAAACTGATGTACAACAACAAAAAACTTTATGAAACGAACTATCAACAACAACTAAGAATATTATGAAACAACTTGCTTACTTTATACAATCAAAAACATTACTAGTTTAAAAATGATTATTTAATGAATTGAGTATACCTGAGGCAGAGCATCAGGTCTTGATTCAAATATAACCATCACAACACCTATAGGAACTGTTATTTGCCTCAACTCTAGATCTTCTGCAACTTGAGTGGCTTTTAATGTTCTTCCAAGTAAATCATATGAGTTATTAGCAATCTGACGCAATCCTTCAGATAAAACTTTAAGTTTTGATGGTGTTAAAGCAAGTCGTGAAATCATAGATGCACTTAAATTATCTGCCTTTTTTGCAGCATTAAGATCAATTTGATTCACATCTAGTATTTCTGCCTGCCTTTCGATAAGTAATTCGGAAAGACGAAAGATTATTTCAGCACGCTGATGAGGAGTCAAATTTTGCAAAGCCCGACTACAACTTCTTGCTAAAAAAGTAAATTAAAAAAAGTAAATAAATTTAAAAGTAAAAAGTAATTATAAATACTATACTTTTTTTTGAAATCCACTAAAAGAAACTAAAGGCTCAAGAAAATAAAAACCTTTAAGAGCTTGTTCCTCTGATGTTGGTCCTTCATTTTCAGCATCTGTGAAAAAGGTTCCAATTTTTTTACCATCTAATATATCAGTAATAATTGTTGTATCTTTAAATACACCATTTGCAATAACAACAGACACTCCTCTGTCAAGAGCAAATGATGCAGCTTCAACCTATAATAAGAAACATAATTTAAAAGTATTTTCGTTTTTTAAAACTTTATAAGTTATTCAAAGTTTGCAAAAAACAAATTATTTGTTGCTTTAAGGTAAAAATCTGGCTTGCCTTGGACTCCATCCCTCCAGTACCTACTCTGGATTTTACTTGACTATATCGAACAAGATTTTTATCACTTGGACGATAGACACTTAACAGAGATGAACCTTCTTCACCTGGTGGCCCTGTATAAATACCATCAACATCTGAAAGGATGATTAAGAGATCAGCGTTCATTTGCACAGCAAACATGGCTGCCAGGCTGTCGTTGTCTTTTAAACTGATTATCTATTTGAAAATAACTTTTTAAAAAGTATAAAAATACTAATTTAACAAATTTATTTTTTGAATAAAAACTTTTATTTTCACACTTTAAATAAACTCTCTATAAAAAAAAGAAATCAATACTTGAAATAGGTTAAAATTAAAAAATAAAAATACATGAAATAAGTTTAAAACAAAGCAAGAAGTTAAAGTTAACAAAATCTACTTATTTATTTTTAAACTTTTGCTCTTTTTTTCTCTTCTATTTTTCCTCTTTTTTTAATTTAAATTTTATAATTATCTTTAAAATATTTTATAAGTTTTGTTTAACAACTTATCTAAATATGATCAAAGTTATATTTCCATTTTTTTTTTTCTATAACAAATACAATATTTTTGTTATATTACTTAGTAGAAACTGTAATTCCTTATATAGCAATACATATACTAGTTTAATAAACACTCCAATTTTCAATTAAAATGCTTAATCAAACTGCTTATATTAGGTTATGAATAATTTTTTGCTGAATGTTATATTGTTTTAAAACCTGATTATACATTCTCATATACAAGCCTCAGTATAAATTTCTCAGTAAAAAAAAAACAAAGAAACACAAAACATGTAGTTACTAAAACACACGCAAAAAAAGTAGGCGCAAAGAAAGAAATGAAACATTTAGACACAAAACAAATATGGTTACATGAGCTCATTTTTACAAGAATAATTAATTATTTTACTTCTTTTTAGATACTTTAAACTGATAAAACTAGATGTTACTGTTGTATAAACTTTTTTTTTAATTCTATTTTTTCACTTTAAACTAATATTTTTTCGCTTTAAACTAATATTTTTTCACTTTAAACTAATATTTTACAATGGGATGCCTTACTGAAATCATACTAATAGATCAATGTGTAAAACATTTTTTGTTGTGGAGAGTTTGAAGTTCAGGCCATGTTGAAGTTAGGTAGAGTTGAGATGGAGGTGAGGCAAAGGTGAGGTGGAAGAAGTGGTTTTTTTTATTAAATCTACTTAGAATGGATTTGTTGCAACTGTCAGGATTGGCAAAAACCCAAGGTTTTTTTAAAAAAAACACACGACCCAGTGGTTTTTTTTTTGAGTAATTTTGGGTTTTATTTTTATTTTGTGTCTGTTAAATTTATTTTGTTTTGTTTAATGATATTAAAACTTAGTATAATTTTCTACTTTATTTTAAATATATTTTATATAGTGTTATTTAATAATTTATAACAAGAATTTTTCAAATTATTTTGAAAAAGATTTTTAAACATAGTTTAAAACTGCTATGGAAAAAATTTAATTTTAAACTTATCTGTATTGATTTATTTTCGATTTAAAAGTAATATTGTTTATAACTAAAAATCTCAATGAGAAATGGGAAAAAGAAGGAGAATGGAAGGAAGTAATTGAAGTTTCGATTGAACTTCAAACTTGAACTTGAAATTCAAATAAACAAACTTATTTCTCCATGCAGTGGCCTTGTTCATAAAGGTTCAGGTTTTGGAGTTGAGAGTTGAGAGAAGGTTGTAACCACAATAAGGTAGCTTTGACTGTAGTGGCTTACTCAGCCTTAGGAAGTGAATAATATAAAAGATAAAAAAGATAAAAACATCTCAATCTGTAAACATATTTGAACAAAAATTGTAATAATGTATTTCCAAATAATGATTCAAATATTAGTAAATCTGCTCTGATAGCTTGATAAGCATTTCAAATTGGAACAGGTTCTTTGGCATCTGTTAGTTTTATAAGTTTGCCAAAACCTTGTAAGAAACAACAGCTGATGTCATCATACACAACACCAATTCGATACCATTGAAAATCTAGCAATATTTGGAAAAGCTAACAGTTTTTAAATCCAACTCAAAAAATTTGGTGTTGTTTTAGATTAAGTATTTCACTTTTTTTAAATTAAAATTTTCATTACAAATATGTCTTTATAGACCTAAAGGAAAAATAATAATTCAAAATAGGATTAAATAATAATAAAAATAATTTTTTTTTCAATGGAAAATAACCTAATGATTAAAAATAATAACGAGACAGAAAATGGTTTTACAATCATTATCATGATTTTGTACCTTGGTTGATTTTTCTTAAATTAAAGGACTGTGGTCGTTTTATTTTAGGATGTTAAGTGATCAAATTATATCGACAATTTTGTGCAGTGATTGATCATCTATCATTATGTTTTAAAAAATGTTGGTTATAATAGTTCATAAAATGATAAAATATTTAAAAAAAAACCCAATAAGACCCAGATTGCCTGGGTTTTATTGGGTTTTTTAAGGTTTTATTGGGCAGGTTTTTTAATGCCAACCCTGGCAACTGTGGAATGGACATGCTGTTGATGGGTGTCAAATGTGTAGTTGAGGTGCCTTTGTAGTTATGAAATCAGCTCATATTTGCATAAATAAAATCAGCCTAATAACATATACTTAATTAACAATACCAAGTAATAATATAAAAAGAAAATACGATTAAAAGATATATCTCAGCCTATATTATAACAGTATTTTTTGATTGTAAAGAAATACTTTCCTTGAGTGAAAAGGAAAATGCTGTATTGAGTAGTGTAATGTGGTGTAGTACATTTATTAACTTTTTAATTTTTTTTTCAGTAAAGTTTGTACCTTCTTTCTGTTTAACTTTTTTATAGGAATCAATGCACATGTCATAAAAGAATTTTCTTATTTGAGTTAAATTTTTTTATTTAGTTCTGTAATCTTTTTTTTGGCTTTTGTTTTTATCCTAACCTTAACTGTAGTAATAATCAAAAATAATACATCCTAATGTAATTAAAAAAACATTTAAACAATTGATCAAGTTATTTTAATAATGAACATATATATACTTAAGTAGAAAATATATAATATTAAATTGAGGCTAACATATATACACAATCATTCCTCAGAAACATTGTAATAAAATGAGGTTAGCTTATACACACACCAACCTCTAAAATATATAACATTATATTGAGGCTTGCATTTGCACACACACACACACACACACACACACACACACACACACACACACACACACAGATTTCTCAAATGAATTAAAAAGAAATGAAAATCTGCCCTGCTTTGGCTTACCGTTCTTTCTCTGGATGTTAGCTGTAAAAAATAAAATCAATACTAATATGATTATGATGTTTAAAGTTAATTTATTATAATTTAAACTAATTTATTATTAAAAAATTGTTAACTAATGTATTATTAAAAAATTGTTTAAATAGATATAAACTTTATTTTTCAAGAAATTCAGAAAATATTTAGGTTAATTATAATTTAGGTTTTTTTTTGTTGTCAGGGACTTCATATTAAATGATTATCTAAATATATTAAAGTTGTATATTGTTTTAAAGCTTGGACATTTCTCTTTTTAAATTTATGTTAAAGAGATAATGTTTAAGAATTCATATATACTTGGACATAAAAAAAAATTTAACCATGAAATTTGCCTAATTTTAATTAATGAATAATTTTGTTCAATGAATAATTTTGCTCAATGAACTTAAATGAACAGTAAAAATACAGTGCAAACTGCTCATAATATTAACCAATCAAACTGCTCATAATATTAACCAATCAAACTGCTCATAATATTAACCAATCAAACTGGTCATAATATTAACCAAGCAAACTGCTCATAATATTAACCAATCAAACTGCTCATAATATTAACCAATCAAACTGCTCATAATATTAACCAATCAAACTGGTCATAATATTAACCAAGCAAACTGCTCATAATATTAACCAAGCAAACTGCTCATAATATTAACCAATCATAGAGCTTAACTACTACTTTAGACCCCACAGTTCAAAATTGGTTCAATCGATTCTATTCCAGAGATTTTTATTTTACTGAGAAAGATGTGGTCATCTAGAAGTGTTTACTGAGAAAGATGTGGTCATCTACAAGTGTTTACTGAGAAAGATGTGGTCATCTAGAAGTGTTTACTGAGAAAGATGTGGTCATCTACAAGTGTTTACTGAGAAAGATGTGGTCATCTACAAGTGTTAGATTACGTGTCCTTAAAACACTTATCAAATCAACTTAAAAAGAATTGTAATTGCATCTTAGCATACCAGTATAAACCATTTTTGAATATTTGAAAGCAACTAAAAAAGTTAAGAGGTTAAATAAATGAAAATGAAAAAATTAAACAAAAGGCAAACAATTTTTAGAATATAAGTCTTTTTAACCAAATAAACTGCAATAAGAAGTGAATCTGGTAAAATAATTGTCATTGAACAGGCCAATGATTGGACAAAGAAGACACCCAAACATATATCAAAGCCAAGTTTATACCCCAAAAAAGGTTACAGCTTGGTGGTCTTTGACTGCTATCATTTATAACAAATTTCTTTAACCTTACCATACAATTACTGCAGACATTTACTGCCAAGAATTAGACACTTTTCATTAATGCACTTGTTAAAAAAAATAATCCTATTCTGGTTCACAACCTCAACCACAACCTCAACCACAACCTCAACCACAATCACAGGATATAAAAAATAACTTTAAAAGTTCATTGAGATTGGCATAAAAAAAATTGTAGAACTTTGTTTAAAGTGAACAAAATGAAATAAAAACTATTTTTATTGAATAAAATTTAAAAATCTTTTCTAAAATATATATATATTTTTTAATTTATTACCAAAAAAACTGCTGATTTTTTAAATTTTTTCATCCTATTATTTCAAATGCCAATAAATTAACAGAAGATTTACAAATTGCATTAGGGAAAGTCATTTTCAACTTTTTACAGTAAATGCTTAAATCCTATGAATTTTTAATGTTGGTTAATAATAAAACCTGAATCCAAAAAACAGTTTTTTAAAGTTTTCAAATTTTAACTTTAAAAACCAAGGGTTTGGGTAAAATTATGGTAAACACAGTCTGCGGCTTCTTTTTTTTTCTGGTTAATCTGACTGATTCAAAAATAAAGCCTCAATTGCAATACCTTTACTTAGATACCAAGAAAAACATTTTAGCTTTAAGAATTTGTAAACTTTAGCAAGATTACAAAAACCGGTTGTTTGTTTTCCCTCAAAATTTGGTTAAAAAAAAAACATTTATCAATTTTAATATGGTAAAAAAAACATGAAAATGTAATCAAAGTTGCAAACTGTTATGATTGGTTTTAAAAAAGAATTTATAGATAGTTTTTGTTTTTTTAGTTTTTTTACTGTATTTACTTCCCCAAGAAAGTATGGGTCACGAGGGTCGAGTAGGTTACTTACTTTTTTTTTTTCTTCCTGTAATCACAACTTTACCAGATTCACTTCTTATTGCAGTTTATTTGGTTAAAAAGACTTATATTCTAAAAATTGTTTGCCTTTTGTTTAATTTTTTCATTTTCATTTATTTAACCTCTTAACTTTTTTAGTTGCTTTCAAATATTCAAAAATGGTTTAACCTTTTAAATCCAAAACGAGAGCTTTGACAATGAAGGCAGTGCACGAAGAAACAGATTAAGGTACCCACATTAAGAGATGTTATAAAATATGGGTTGATTCTAAGAAGAAACAAAAGCAGTAGTGAAAATGCAAAAAATGAAGATACACACAAAAAAGTTTTCTTTAAAATGAAAGCACAATAATTGAAGACAAAACCTGAAATTTTAATTATGACGGGTTTGAACACAAAATTGAACTGGTTTAACACTAAGATCATTTATAAGTTTAAATCTACACTGAAAAAGCTATTTGATATAGCAAAGTGTAAGTTTTAAATTTTTTTTCCAGCATTACAGTTTAAAATTAAGGTAAAAAATTTTGATATTTAGTCTGAAAATCATAATTAATACAAATACAAAGTAAAGCATAAAACAACTGATAACCTACACCATGTTATCAAACAGGCTGAAACTTGTCAGAAAAATGCATCCAAGCATTAAGTAAAAAAAATTTGCCCAACATTTGATTCTCTGCCTGGAATGCTCACAATGAATTCTTTCTCTAAGCACCATATTTTGCATCAATAAAGAAAAAGAACATAAAAAAAACTTTGCACCAAAGAGAAACAGTTGTCTGTAAAAATAACAACTTCAATTTAAGCTTGGTAATTAGAAGTTGTTAGATCAAGATCAAGAAAAATTTTAAAAATTAACACCATTGCTAAAACCATTATAAAATTGATTTTAAAAAAATTGCAAAAGAAGTTACAACAGCTAATAGTTAGCACAGTTAATAGACAAGCAAGATATTAGACAATCAAGATGCGTTTATAGAAGTAACAATGGGTTAAAGATAACTTTTTTCTGTTTTAAAATCTAAGCAGAATTTTTTTATAATTTTTTTCTTCATTTTTTTTCTGTTTTAGACAATAACTAAAATTAGTATAGTAAATCCTACAAACACAGCAACAAATCAGGAAATCCTACAAACACAGCAACAAATCAGGAAATCCTACAAACACAGCAACAAATCAGGAAATCCTACAAATACAGCAAATGAATCATAAAATCCAACAAACACAGCAACAAATCATGAAATCATACAAACACAGCAATGAATTATAATGATTTTTAAGGCGTTTGGTTGGTCACATTTGGAGTATAGTTGAGGAATCATTTGAAACTTTTAAAACTACATTACAGTTATGTAGCTTTCATTACATTTGATATTACAGGTAAATTTTGAAAACAAAAAACAATCTTCGTAAACATTGAACAAATTTTTCTTTTAAAACTAAAATTACACTTTCTAGACATTTTTTATTCAATTGAAAAAAGTAGCATTACACCACTCAACAACCGTATATACCACACTTTTACTAAAAAGCAAACTTATAAAAACATTTGGATTGTTTAAAAATTTGAGACTCTAAGACTCAGTTTTTCTGAAAAATTTTTAATAAAAAAAAACTTATTATTATTAACAAGATCATCAAACATTTTGAAAATTTAAAAATTCACTATAACATTTTTCCATCAAGTTCTGCAAAAAAAAAATTATGTTAAATATTTATCTATCAAAAGTATTTCCTAATGAAAAATATTTATAATAATGCCTTTCAAAGGTGATTCTTTAAAGAGTTAGAACAGTGTCTTTCGAAAATAATATTTACGAAAAAGAGTTATTTAGATCCTTTTTAAATTTTAATTTACTTATCTATCAATGGTTATAACTTTACTAAACAGTAACAAATGATCATCAATAATTATATATCCACTTGTAACTTTTTTTAAACAATTTTAAAAAAATTACTTTTAAAGTTTAGATTTTATCAATAACAAAACTAAAAAAGATAAAAACTTTTTATAAGATCTGATTCATTTAAATAAAAACTTTGTTGTAACTATAACATAAGACAAGAGATTTTTTGCATTTCAAATTAAAGCAGTTGAACTTTTAAATGATTAAAACAGATTAATACAATTTTTATTAAACTTTAGGAGATCTGGGTAATAGGAGGTATTAGTGATCATTAGCTCCAATCACTGTGCAAGACATTTATATTTCTTTTTTATTATAATACTTTTTACCCTTAATAATGTTAGTCTGTTTAAAAGTTAGCTTATGAACATTATGAACAAATATTTATAATACTTGTTTTATTATTTTATTTTTATTATTTTTTATAATTAAGTTTTTTTTCTTTCTTTTTTTGAAATAATTTAATCTTTAATTAACTTTAAGAACAAATAAAATTTTCATGTTTTTTGATTTATACATAAATTGATATTTTTAACAATTTATACTAAATATTATTTAAATTTTTTAATTAAATTTTATTAATTTTTATTACTTATAGATTTTACATTTAACCTTTTTCATTATTATTATAAATTATTATTTAAAATATAAACAAACAGATTACCCCTGATAAATCTACATCTGGGCTAGGTTGTGGAGCAACAACATCATTTGCATTTACTATTGGTATACAATGCATGTGTATTAACTCTTCGATTGTTGTCTGCAAATTTTCACGGTTACGATCATTTTGAAAATCTGGTTTTGTGACTAGAACCTAGTAAAATAAATTACAAATAAATATGATAAATATAATAATAACTTTATGTATAATACTGATTTTAGCAATATGAAAGAAATGTAAGTGATCAAATTAAAAATTCTATTAGTGGGACTTAATTCCTTTAGTGAGAACTAAAAGATGGAATCAGGAGTTGAAAAATTAAACCAATGGTTGAAAGATAGAATCAAGAGTTAAAATAGAATCAATGGTTGAAAAATAGAATTAAGATTTAAAAAATGTCATCAATGGTTGAAAGAATAAACAGTTAAAAAATGAAATTGGTTAGTTAGCAAATGATAATAATTTAATAGCTAATTAATGTTCCATAGTTAGTTCCATAAATTACTTAACAGGTTTCAAATAACGAGTGTGTTGCGTTGTAATATTAAAGAAGCATGTGGTGGTTATTTTTAACTAGAACATGGTGAGGACCTATTTTTTTATTTCGTCATTTGAAAAATATATATATATTTATTGGGTTTATTATAATTCTACTAAACCAAAAATTTGGTTTAGTAAACTTATAATAAACTCAATAAATATATAGATTTAAATATTAAATTAGAAACTGAAATTAATTTGAATTGTAACTTAAGAAGTTTTTAGTTCAGCCACAAGTTTCTAACATAATCAAAACACTTCTGAGAATAAAAAATTAAAAAAAAATCATCTTTTTGCTGCAATTCATGCCCATAGGTAGATATTGGCTGTTCTAAGCTAAACTCTCAGTTGATGTATGTATTGAAATCCCTGTAGATGACTATTTTAGTATATCATCATTCATGATGTTTCATGTGTTGTTAAGTTCTCATTTATTGGTTATAAATAAAAATTATTTCCTGCCTGTCAATTATGCCATAAGAGATTGCCCATAAATCAAGCAATGCTAAACTTATTTAAAAAAAGTAGAAGATCATTTGCTTTTTTGCAACTTTTATTGAACTTAAAAAATTTTGATTTTTGGTTTAGTTAATAATCTTGCGAGAGAAAGCTTTTGTTTTGTTTATTAATTAAATTTAGTATTGCATTATTTATAGACACCACTGTTTAGTTAATGAAAGTGCACCAATCATTTGTATCATTTGCAAAAAAAAATTTTAAATAGCTCATATTCCATTTTCTTTTTGTTCTTTTCATGGTTTCTTAAAAAGCTATTAAGTTATTTTTGTAAATTTTTCTTACTTTCAAATGACAAAAAAAAGATTAGACTCCAGACTACTTTTTAAATGAACATCAAAATTTAAACACTGAACTTGTATACTCCAGATAGACAATATAGACTTACTTAGACATCTAAAGCTTATACTACATATTTAGGTGCACATAAAACACATTAATAGTTAATTTCTTAACTTTATCTAAATTTATCTAAAGTTTATTGTTTGAACTTCTCTTTAAATACCTTGCTCTTTAAAAACTCCCACCTTTTTCTATAAAGAACATTAAATTAGATTAGTACTAACAAAAACATATTCATCTATACATACGTAACATATTTGTCCATACACACTATTAATTTGTTCTTAAAACTTTTTCACTGGGAACAAACTCTACAAATAAACGCTTCTGAAAATAAAATTAAAAATACTTTTATAACACTAACTACACTCAAACTTTTAAACTATTTAAAAATAAAATACTTTTTACACTAATACCTGATTGTTTAACTGTTTCCAATAAAAACTTCAATTTTCCACAACATTCAAGTTTATAATAAAATAGTTGTTTCAACAAAATTACCTGCGCTACAGTAATATTACCTGAGCTACTGTGACACCATACTGATTAAACATTTCCTCATATAAAGAGACAAGACCACTTTGTCCAACTGCAGCACAAGCTCTGGAATCCAATAAACCCTTTTAGAAAAATAATATGCATAATTAAATTGTTTTAATATGCTATAAGAATAATAAAACTATATTTATTATTCTTTATTAATTTTTTGTTTGATTAACAATAAACAAAGACAGTGCAAACAAAAACGTTTTAATGCTCACTCCACGTCTTCCATTTAATCTAAGTGAATCACGCATGGTTTGTTGCATTGACAGCTCACTTCTCAGTTTAAGTTTACCAAATGCAACAGCCCCACTTGTAACAATCATCATCTGCTTTCCAGCATTCTGTAATTCTGATACCTAAATTATTTATTCAAAAACAAAAACAAAAAATAATTTGTTCATCAAAATATAAAATTAAACAAACATATATACAATAGTACAAACATATATACAAACAAACTGATTCAGTAGAACAAACCTGTTCCACTATTGAAGCTAGACGCCCCAAAGCCACACCACACTCATCATCTCGAGTAATTACAGCAGAACCAAGTTTTACAACAATTCTTTTACATTGTTTTAGTTGATTGCGAAAATGAATAGGTGAAGCTGATTTTATTACTTGCATGGGTGGATACCTTCCGCTGTTTGATACATTTGAAGCATATCTGGTGGCATAAAAACAAAAGTTTGTATAAGCTTTCTTCAACCCGATTCCTCTAATCAACATTATCAATTGCTTGCTCTAAATAAACTACAAAAAGATGATAAATAATAAATAAAATAACCTACAAAAATAAAAGGTTATAAATGCAATAATACTTAAATTTTATTATTTATAATGAAATAAAAATGTAAAGCAGTGAAATGCTTAGATATTCTAAATGTTTCATTTTAGGCATAAATATTAAAAATTTTGAAAAAATTATATTTTTATATTATAACCAATCTTGATGTAATTTTGTCAACCTTTCTACTATGGTCATCAGTACATTTGTTGCACTTTGCTTTAATAAAAATCAACCATTTTCAAGCTACTTTTCAAACTACAAATCACTACATATTTTGTGAAGTAATTGTTTATAAACAGCATAAACTATTGGAATCAATGTTTTCTCTCACACACACTTAAGCCCTATTTTATACACTTTGCTTAGCTATACTTTTTTAAACTTAGCAATGCAAAATGTGCAATGCTTGTTCAGTGATTATTTGGTTTAAAACTATTCAATTACAATAGTGATTACCAGTAATTACTTTATAACTAATTTTGTGGTCAGTAGTATCCAACATATTTATATTAATCCTGTGCTCCTAAGATTTCATCCAAAACTCTTATTATCAATTCTTTGTCTGTCTCAAACACAAATCTAATGCAAAATGCAATTTCCAAAGAGCTTCAAAAATAATATTGAACTGACTAAGAAAAAAACTCTAATCTCAAAAACTTTAAAAACATCATTCTCTATCAAGTTTCAAAAAGCATTATCAAAATTTTATCAAAATTTAATTGCTCTAATTATACTAACAATATATAACTATACAATAATTTAATTAATAATAGATAATTTGAGTAACTTAATAACTATTCTTTAACGCATTAATATTTTAACTCATACAAAACAATTTTGTTAAATATTTTTTAAGATCAATGAAAGATTCATAGCATTATTTCTTCCTTAAAAATATCTTTTTAACTGCCTGATAATAAAAACTTAAACTGTAGTTCCTTTTAGAGGCCTGAAACAAAACGGGATATTGCTGATAAACACAGTGCAGTTTTTTCATTTATTATCTAGAATTTATTGTATAGGTTCAAAAACTTGTTTAACAAAGAAAAAAAAAAAGACATTAAAATCCTCCTTTCATGGTTATTAAAGGATAATGTATAGTTCTTAATATTTAACCCCCCCTCCTCCTCCCTCATTTTTTATCCAGTTATAATATAGTCGATATGTTGTGGTACTTTTGAATTTTTTATACTTTTAACAATTATAAAAAGTCATAAGAAAACATTTATATTACAAAAAATTCATGTCACGCTCTAACAACCATGCTATAAAAATAAGATAAAACATTTTTATGCATCATTGGATTTGTTCCCAAATCTATTGCATTTACTGTTTAATCTAAGAATAATAAATTTGCAATAGATAAACTAAACTTCTGAACATTTCAAACACAAACCACACAAGAAATAAATATTTTGAATAAAAATGAAGAAAAAAAATGAAACTCATTGATTTTAAGTATTTGGAATTTTGCTTTTATAAAAAAATAAAAACTGAAAATGAAAAAGTGAACTTTATTTGAATTGTAATAACTTTTTTGTATTGAATAATTTGCTTATCTTAAAATACTTGATTATTCAATAAACAACAATTAAAAATAAATTTAACAATAATCTTGTTTCCAGATTATTAGTTAATAATAAACCCTCCCACTATATGTTACAAATTTATAAACCCTCCCTCTACATATCACACCTTTATAAACCCTCCCCCTCCCTATCAGACTATTATATCGCTTTTTATCTATCAATAGTAAGTTAAGCAGATTATTTCCTTTGCTGTAAAAATAGTCCAACAACAAAAGCAAAACATAAAAAAAATAACAAAATAGCTGTCATCGAGTATTTTCTATTCAATTAAAAAAAACATAATTTAATTGCTCTAATTATGCAATAATTATATTCCAAATAATGAAAATATTATTTCAAATTTACTTTTCTCATTGCTATTTCGAAAAATATAAAGTAAATAGTTTCAAAAAATACTTCTTTATTATAGTTATCCATTGTTTATGTTAACATTAACTTTATAAAATTCTATAAAACCAAATAAATTTTACTGAAATACCTAGTACTTGTTGAAAAAAACCTTTATAAATAATGTCATAAATAAATGCTTTCTTAAACAATTTATTTATAATTTTTAACAAATGAGCTCTATTCGAGATATATTCTCTTTAAGCTACGTCGAAACACGTTTTTTTAATTATTAAGATAGAAGGGAAAACCCTTGAGCTCATGTTTTTTCGTTGATATTTTCCATTCTTCTTAAAACAATGAAAAAGTAGCCGCGCTTAAAATTGCTTTTAAACAAAAAAAAAATATGAAAAAATGAGTTACAGACTTTTTTTTTTAATTACTATGCTCATCGATTTGCCCAAAAAAGATGAGGCACATAAAAAAAATTTCTTAAACAAGTATCAACAATTTCTCAAGGCAGCTTTATGATATTTAAGATTTGGGTTATTAGAGCACTTAGCAAAGCGTTAGAATACTTACCTTGAAATTATGAATTAAAAATTATCTTTGATTCGGGAGTTTAGGCAACTTTTATAGTAAATGTAAACATTTTTTATTTAAACTCATTGGATTCCTTAATAAATTTTATTTCCAAAAAGGTTTCAACCACTTCTGTAGCTTATTTATTTCCAAAGATATACGATAGACTTTTTATGAAATATTTTCTCCTTAAATTTTTGGCACCGAAAAAAAAAAACTCTTTAATGATTTTTTTCTCTAGCGTAAAAACTTTTCGCGTTAACCAACTTTTAATAAAATTTTGTTAGTAAATCAATGATTTTGATTTACGATTTTTGATTTATTAAATTAAAAATATAATTTTTTTTAACAGCAGAATGTTTTAAACTTTTTTAACATAACTTAAATTTTTAAATGGTTTAAGTTATAAAACGTTAAGCGTAACAAAACTTTGAGGAAAAATATTAATTCAAATTAACTTTTATTTGAACTTTCTTTTATAAATTATCAAGTGAAAATAAAACAGGCAGAAAACGTTGAAATACGTACAAAATATGGATAAATCTAAAATTTATCTTTACACAAATAAAAAAACGTTAGTCAACGATTTGTTAATAGTTCCAGTATTATCATAGATTAAAAACAAATTTAATCGCTAGAGTCAAATGTTTAGACTAGCTTATTATTTTCCCTTTTGATAATGTAAAAGTTTTTCTTTTTTTAAAAGGGTTTGGATTTTATTCTATAATTTTAATTTAAATTTTAGGATTTTAATTTTTTTTTTAAACAATAAATGAAAAACTCGTTGGATTGTTTTATTTGATTTTGTGTTGTGATTTATTTGATTGTATACCTAAAGTAACAGATTTAGTTAACAGAATACTTACATAGATTATCTTCTATTTCAAATTGCAAAAGATGCCTCAAAGTTTAAGGCATCTTTTGCAACCTGAAATAGAAGATAGTACAGGGTGGCCACATAAAATTTTTATAAGAAAAAGAGGATATTAGAGGATTTTAGAGGAGATTTTGCATTTAATTTAGAGGATTTTTTTTGCAAAACTACAAAATTTTGAATAAAAATAGAGGATTTTAGAGGATTTTTTTTTCAAGGTTTAATGCCTGTTTCCACATAACTGGGGTTTGGACAGGGGTCAACAATGTCATTATTTGTTAGATGACATGGATTTGCTAAAATTGATTTTTTACAGCGCAATTCTTATTTCAGACTTTATGCATTTTGCAGATCATGAACTTTGAACATTATACTACCATCAAGAAATAAAAAATAATAAAAAAGAGGAGTTAAAGAGAACATTTTATGATATTTTTAACTTTTTAGAGGATAATAGATGATTTTAGAGGAGGTTTTTGAAAAAAGAGGATTTTAGAGGAGCTGTGGCCACCCTGTGGTACAATCATTTCGATTTTTAAAACATTTAAGGCTTAAATGTTTAAAAAATGTCTAAAATGTTTTAAAAGTTGTCTTAAATTGTTTTGTCTTTGAAATAAAAAAATGATTGTACTATCAACATATCCAAATTTGTCCGACACTAATTATTTGATTTTAGAATTTTAAATTTTCAAAATTCATTTAAAACTTCGCTAAATTTACTAAAAAAAAAAGTTTTTATTATCAAACTGCAATTCAAACTTCAGAGTAGGCTACCCTAAAGTAAGAGTAACCTACTGTTAAACAAAATTAGAGGATAGCGGGCAGCTTTGAATGTTTCTCTTTTTATTTTTTTATTATAACTTTAAAAAATTTGACCCCTCTTTCTAACAGTACGCACACACAGATATATATATATATATATATATATATATATATATATATATATATATATATATATATATATATATATATATATAATTTTTTAAAGTTATAATAAAAAAATAATTGTCATTAAACAATTTTATACAAAATTTGCCTTGGCTATTCCGTTTATAAATTAGACAAAATTGTCTAACTTACTTAACGAAGTGCACCAACGAGAAGGTAAGCCATAGGACTTTGCACTCCATCAGTGAGCTGTCATATTGCCTAAGGTTAACCCTCCATTTTTGGATTCTTTCCTTTACTAGATAGGCAGTTCATGTAAAAGTAATAGTAACTTAACCTAAGGTTAGCCCTCCATTTCTGGATTCTTTATTTATTTGATAGGCAGTTCATGTAAAAGTAATAGTAATTTAGCATAAAGCTTTTTTTTTTTTAATATTTATAATAATGTACAGTTAAGCATAGAGATAAAAATATTGATATATATTATAAAAATTAAATCTTTAAATTAAACAAATTGGTACATATAAACATATCAGATATGATTCACACCACACCACAAAAATAAAAACCACTGTACTCAAATGCAGTAAAAACAAATTATTGAAACATAATAAAAGAAATAAGATAAATACATACTACAACATAATTCTGAACTTTTATTAAATAAAATTACCTCACAATCCTAGCTGAAGTGAATAAGATCAC